ATCGGAAACTCATCTCCTGATGGGATGCTTCAAAGTCAAAACGTTAACACTAGAGTGGAGGCCTTAATCTACAAGGCGGACAAAGCTGCAACAAGCGACTGATACATCTCCACCTGCTGCGATTCGCCAGCGGTGCGAGCTGGCGATTCGGAGCAGGAGGCGATGTATTGGTCTTTTGGTTCCGCTTGGTCCCCCGTGTAGATTAGTGCCCCAGATTTGCAACCAACCATAATAGTTGTGCCATTACTCCTGGAGTGTGTGTGTTTGTTTGCGTTGGTGGGGGGCTTGTCTGGTAGCATGCATGCCGGTGCCGTATACTATTCGTCGCGGCCGCCAGATTCATACCTATAGCCTACAGATAGAATTAATCGCGAGGGTGCGCTTCATCACTGTGTATCTATTAGTGTTGTCATGAATAAAATTTTCTCCTTTACATTCTATTACAAGGCCATTGTTCTTTTGACATATTTTGACAATCATTTATAAACAGCTAAATGATACCTTTGTTCGTAGAGTGTGAGTACTATTTCTAGAAGAATGTTCATTAACTTAATTTTACGAGAAGGAAGTCAATGTCTTCTTGCGAAAAACCAGACTATAACTGGTCTCACCGGTGGCACTATGTTTCAACGGGCCTGGGTTCGAGCAGATTGTTATTGCGAGCAAAGTCGGCAATATAATAATTGCACACGTGATCAACAGCGGAGACGGTCAATTTACCACACGTGGCCCAGCGTTATCGCCAATACACCGAGATCAAGGGTGGTTGGGCCATGCCTACTGTTCAATTTCGTGGGTTCTTCAACAGGGTTATCCTTTTTTAAATATTTTTTTCCCTGCATCGATACTGTCATTGGCGATCACAGCGAGTTGAGATCCCTAAATAGTGTAATCAGTGCAAAGCAAAAAGAAGAATAAACATTCTACTGCTATTCTCAATGATCAAGGAAAATATGCTCTCGCATTCCTGACACGCGAACATCTGAGGCAGAGTAGGGGCGCTCCCAATGCGTGCCTTATGGCGAATCCCACTGGTCGTTTTGGAGCGCCGGGATCGACTTTTCTGGAGCGAGCCTATTTCACTGGGCGATCGGGATCCAGACCGACGTGTTTCACTGGTCGTTTTGGATTAGCTCCCGCTCCAGATCTCGATCTGGATCCGAGAAAAGTCGCTCCAACGATTTCGTTGAATTCAACCGGAAGCCAGCCGGGCCATCCCTCGGCGCACACACATGACTTCCTTTCTCGTGGGGCATCTCGCCTGATCTCGCTCATCTCGCCTCAGAAGAATTCGTAATGGCCGCTTGCTTACCCCTTGGCTCGACAGCCGGTTCGTTTTCCAGGAAAGAGAAGAGAAGGTATTTGCCGCACTACGGGCATTTCGTCAATCTTTGGAAGAAGCGCCTGAGCCATTCCTGCCGCTCGTGCGTCGAACACGTGTTAGCGCCACGATTGCGAAAACGTCTTCGAAACGACCGCGGCGGCCGCGGAAAGGGGATTCCCGGGCAGTTTAATGACGGGAAGGCATCCGCCGGTCTTGGAGCAGTGGTCATGTTCACTGGGATCCGTAGGCGGCGCGACCCCGTTCGGATCGTGTGCTCCAGTTCGGATCAGCTCAGCTGATCCCGGCGCTCTGCGAAACGCCCTGTGGAGTTCGCCATTAGAAATGGCTGCTGTCTGACAACATCCCCCGTGTTAAAATTATGGCGGCCCCTAGGCAATCTCGATCTCGCCCTGATGGTGAGACTGCAGTGCTACTTGCCTTCCTTTCTCCGGCCCGGCAATCGCTGGATAGGGCTAATTTTTCAGTTCCAACCGTTCACCTCATTACTTGTGCTAATACCACAAAAAATAGCAACCATTTTTTTGCGATTTTACAGTTTCTAATTTCCGTAGGCCATGCATCTCTACAATATATTAGCCGATAATGACTACATGTCGATGACAGCTCCTTGATACATGCCTTGGCACTCTCTGAGACCGGATCGAAAATACATCGGTTAGCAATTAGTGTTTTTTTTTTTCGCGTTCTGGTTTTGGTTTCGGTTTTGTCATCAAATATGACAATGTTGTTCAAGTGACCGATTTAGAAAGTTTTATTATCGTCACTTTCGGTTCCGGTTGCACTTCAAGCTCAAAACAACAGACAATGAGTCAACGACGACTGTAAGAATACATTAAAGGTCAAGCTGATATGTTTTTTTGTTTGTTTTTTTAACTGAGGAACATTTATTTTTTTACCAAGTTTGCTTGGGATTTGTTATGACAAACGATTATTGTAAACAAGGCTATCGATCTTCAATTGTTTACTGGTATGGTTTATTCCGGTCTCGACATCTTGTTTAACGTTCGGGCGACATACTCGGCCAACACAAGCACACTTTCCTAACGCATGCACAATACGGCTATGTCAGCATTCGAGTGTGCGTCAAAGCATCAGCCCTGAAATCAGCGGCGCAATAGCGTCATTCAACTCTTCTCCAAAACAGTTTCAAAATGATCTCGACATCTACCCAAGTAATATTGGAGTGCTTCAGATACGTTGCGAGAATGTTCCGAATGCTGTGGGTCTATTGGAAGATTTTGTGCAACGGTCCACAATATGTTTCTTACACAACGGTGATTGACACGAATAACACGCAGCGATATGCTTTGTTTCGAACCCCATGCTGCGTGGGGAACTGTGAACTAAAAATCGAGAGAAGGCTCAATGTACAACGTTTGTTAGGCGACATAACTTAAATGTTGAGCAACCACAGCGCAGAACATGTGTCTTACGCGATGCCGCATCGCTCTAGTAGAGACGCAAAAATCGCGACTTTGTGTACAAAACTGTCTCCAATTTGCTTTTGACGCAACAATGATCTTGATGCTGAAAACATTCATTGCAAAGAATATTTCTTATTCAATGCTGTATCACTCTACAGTCCGTTACAAGTCAAGAAGGTAGTAGAAGTTCCTACCCACAAGCGTGATGCGCCGCTTCAAACACCTCCGCAGTCGGGAAAATAGTTTACTGAAAACGACCCTTCTCTTCAAATTGATAGATATTGGCTACAGACAAACCTTGTGGCGGGCGGCAGCTTGTGCCACCTAGCCAAGGCGAAATATGTGTTTTAGGATTCTACAATACTCGCTCCGCAAGGTTGAATAAAAAGAAGGCTTTAGTGGCAAAGAAAATTTTTCGTTGGTAAGAAAGAGGTAGAGGAGCTTAGAGCGATAAACCGGAAGTTCGAAAGTGGCACCCTTTTCCCCTGGTAGCCGCCATGTTGTACACACAAGTGACTAATCGTCACGTGGTCTCGCGAGAGCCGTGACGTCACCGGTCAGATGATAGCGCCCAGAGCTGGTAGATGCAAGCTTGTTCAGTGTATGGTAGCCGTGATGTGCCACTGCTTGCCGACAATATGGAGCTTCTTTTTGCTTTTTGAAGCACGTATAATGTGAAGATCGGAAGGAATAAGGCTTATACCCTTTTTGCGCAAGATCGCTCTGTATATTAGCACCTGTGAGACATCATCTGTCGTATCACCGTAGTGGTGCTTGGATTCCCGGATCGAAAGAAATTTTTGAGCTTTTAGCAAAAATGTTCGCATTCTCCTTGCTTTGTTTGAATTTCTTGCAATCGATGTGAAATGTATGCGTCGCCCATAAGGCCTAAGAAAAGTAGTTTCGGCCCTGGGTATTCGCATAATCACAGCAACCTTTCGCGAGGAAGCTTCTGAGATCTTTACGTTTTGTACTTGTCAACAATGGTACGACATGACGTTTAGCCTAAACTTTTAGTATTTTTCCAGCTTCGTTTCAATGTCGGAATAACTGAGAAGCGACGCGAAATATATACGTCACGTGTAGGGCTTAGGCGGAGTTGTTTGATCCATGGGTCTCTCAAGATTCACCGCAACATTTAGAAAGGCAGCTCCTGTTGTATTTTTCAGCGATTTTAGAAATTTGCAATTCTCAATATTTTCATATGAGGTACTTGCCTTTGAGTAGCTTCATATTGATCGGAGTCCTTTTTTAAAGCAAAAACTTGGTGTTTGATAAGGTGACTTGCACGCGAACTCTTACAAAAATGTCGAACCAATAATCCAGGAAAACGTTAAATTCTAACCTTTATAAAAAAAAATGTTCGTTTATCCTCTTGTAACTCAAAGCAAAGCTGGAAAGTTTTCACTTTTTTTTTAGTGCAGGAGTTTCTGCATCTGACGTCCCATAGAAATGTGGAGGCTCTTGACCCTGCTGATCTGTATCAAACGTCCGCACTAACCCCCATGTGTATGATCAGACTCCTTTTAAATAGTTGTCAAATCCATCAATCCATCGTTCAAACATCTAGAATCTTGACAAAAAAAAAAAACGCAGCGCCACTTTTTGGTGATCCAGAGATAGCACCACTAATTTCAACAATTCGTTAAATTTAATGCAATTAGTCGGAAATAAAAGATTAACTGCACATTGTTCTTTTTCTAGGTTTTATCGCAGCCATAATTGTTTGCCTCAAGATTCCTCCTATCAGTAGGTCGATTATTTGTTCTAATTACCTAGACAATATAAGTTGTATTTCTGTCTGTCGCTTGCCCGTAGAAGCGGTCTTCTTGCACAATGTTGATTACAATTCCTTTCAGTCTCCTGAGTAGACGTTTTTTTAGAGAATGTATGGTGCCTATCCTTTCAGTCTCTACAGAAGGAGACCACTCTGATACAGTGTTGTCGCGTGCCTCTTTCCAACATGCATATTGGCTCAATGGGAAAAGACTTGGCCGTTTGCCAAGTTGTGATAAAACGAAGTTTATTTGGCAGTATGCTAATTACCCAATGCCTTCATACCATAGCAAATTTTTCGACAAGAATGCTATTTCAGCAATCACTGTGAACTCGGTTCAGCGCCTATTGGATTCGAGTGCCGCATTGGTATTCGACGAGTGTATCGGTCAGCGAGGCATCCGGTTCAGCGGGTAGGAAGCAAGTGCTTCGTCTTTATTGTCGTCTCTCACTCAGTGTGGCGGTGGCGCTAGTATCATGACTGTTACATCTCCCTTTCTTTGGACTATGAAAAACCAACAAGAAATACATACGAAAATAAACAAAATACACAAAACATGAAATATAAAAAGCAATAACTCAAAAGCCCGTTAAGCTTGCTGCTGGAAGTTCTGATCGTAGTTTAGCCTTTGGGGTCGCCGCACAGTTCGGGTTGATGTCCGAGCAACACATGGTCTAAGTTCACTAGCCAGATCATCCTCTGTTCTCGCTGTGGAGTTGACTGCAGCTGGGGAGTTGGTCGGAGTTCTCGTTGAAGTAGCGACTGTGGTTGGGATGGCTGGATCATCATGCTGCACTGTTGGGGTCAATGCAGCCGGTGTAGCTTGAATGCTGGTCAGGGTACAGGCTGGGGAATCTTCCAGGTGCTCCTCAAAGTGATCGGAACTCTGCAGGTCTTCATTCGTTGGTCGCTGGTGTTCTCTGTTGCGTCGATATTCCCGGCCATCCTCCGTGACAACCAGTGAAGAACGAGGCGCCACGTTCCTTAACACTTGGCCCTTTGTGACCCACTGTCCTTTGTCCCTCAGACGTACCACGTAACCTTCCCGTAGTGGCTTCAAAAAACATCCTTTAGTGTTATCCTGTGTGTGTTTTCTGGCTGGTTTTGGAACTGCTGGCGTGAAGTCAGGAAGACGGGACCTAATGCGGCGTCCCATTAGAAGCTCGCTGGGGCACCGGTCATCCTCCAGGGGTGTAGACCTGTAACCAAGCAATCCCAGCCAGAAGTCTTCATTAGCTTCAGCAGTTTTCCGCAGTATTCGTTTCACCACTTGCACACCCTTTTCTGCAAGTCCGTTGGAACGTGGAAAATGCGGACTGGACGTGGTGTGCTTAAAATCATAATTCAAAGCGAAACTCTGGAACTGACGTGACGAGAACTGTGGACCGTGGTCGCTGCACACCTCTGGGGGTATCCCGTGTCTAGCAAACATGCTGCTTAATGTCCAAATAACAGTTTCTGATGTTGCCTCTCTGAGCCTCTCTACCTCTGGGAAGTTGGAAAAGGCATCATAGGCAACTAGGTACGTGTTCCCCGCCTGCTCAAAGAGGTCAACACCAACACGCGTCCATGTTAAGCCCGGAACCTCACGCATCATTAGTGGCTCGTTCGGTTGCTTGTACGCAAACTGTTGACAGATTGAGCACCGGTGAATCATTCTCGTGATATCTTCGTTAATGCCGGGCCAGAAAACTAGCTGTCTTGCTCGTGCTTTACACTTATTGATGCCAAGATGGCCATCGTGTATCCTCTCGAGTATTCGCTGGCGCATGGTCTCTGGGATGACCACCTTTACGCCCTTAAACAAAACTCCAGATACTTCTGTTAATTCCCCGGCGAAAGGTTTGTACTGTCCATGAATAGGGAGGTTTGCTCGGAGACAGTTAATTACGTTCGTGAGGACAGTGTCCCGAGCAGTTTCACGCACGAGCTGAATCTTAGTTGCGTCGCTTACGAGTGTGTGCTGAAGCTCCAATGCATGCACCTCAACCTCGGTTAGTTCTGTGCCGCTTGGCTGCCCAGAGGGAAGTGCTCTCGAAAGGACGTCTGGAACCACCAACTCTCTGCCAGGGACGTACGTCAGCTGGAACTCATACTTCATGAGCCTCAAGAAGAAACGCTGCAGGCGCGGTGGCATATCTCCTACACTTTTTTGTGCGATCGCAATCAGAGGTTTATGGTCAGTTTCCGCTATAACTCGCCGTCCGTACACAAAGTGGTGGAATTTTTCAAGACCATAAGTGACTCCAAGAGCCTCTTTTTCAATTTGAGAATAGCGTGTTTCCGCACTAGACAAGACTCTTGAAGCGTAGGCCACTGGTTTCCATCCCTCAACATGTCGTTTTAAGAGCGCCGCGCCTATCCCATATTTTGAAGCATCCGAAGATACTTTCGTGGGTTTTGAGTGCGAGCACTGGGGTTGTAGATATGAGATTTTTCAAGTGTTCCCATTCCATTTGGTGTGCGTCAAACCACTCGAACACTGACCTGTCTTTAATAACTCCGCGCATTAACGTTGTCCTCAAGGACAAGTTAGGCAAAAATTTACCAAAGTAATTTGTAAATCTTTGTACTTCTTTCTTACTTACTGGTTGTGGAAAATTGTGAATGCTCTTAACGAGAGCTGGGCTTGGGGAGATACCATTTTCATTAATAACGTCCCCCAAGAACTCAATTTCCTTGCGGGGGAGTTTGCACTTGCTCATGTTGAACGTGAGACCCTCTTGACTGGCTCTCTGGAGTACAGCGCGTAATCTGTCATTGTTCTCGGCCTGTGTTCTACCCCACACCAGGATGTCATCGATGTATACTCGAACTCCGGGTAAACCTTCAAGCATTTGAGACATGGTCTTCTGAAATACTTCTGGTGCAGAAGCTATTCCAAACGGTAGCCGGAGGTACTGGTATCTTCCAAATGGAGTAGCAAATGTGCAGATTCTCGTGGTCTCATCATCTAACGGTATTTGGTGAAACCCGGAATTTGCATCAAGGGTTGAAAACCATCGTGCATCAGAGAGCTCTGCTTCAATGTGTTCCCTTTTGGGAAGTTGGTAGTGCTCTCGCTTCACCCACTCGTTTATGTTCCGGGGATCCAGACATACCCTGGGCTGTCCTTCTTTTTTTAGCACAATAACCAAAGGACTCACCCAGTCAGTTGGCTCATCCACTTTCCGAATAACGTTGGCGGCGGTTAAGCGCTGCAGCTCCCTCTCCAGTGGCTGCCGCAAAGCTTGAGGGTCACGCCGGGCTGCTTGCACCGTTGGCCTGACTCCTTCCTTCAGCACCATGTGGTACGCCCGTTTTATACAACCTAACCCCTGGAACACCTCGGGCAATTCGGAGGTCACTGCGCTCAAGTTATCGCAGGAAACTGCCGAAACACGATTCACGAGTCCAAGGAGTTCACTGGCCTGGAGTCCGAGAATGGGAGCCCGCGACTTTTTTACAATGAAGAACTCGATGAGTTCTTTTGTGTTGTTGCACTCCACAGTCAAGGATGCTTTTCCTGCGTGTGCAATTATGCCGCCACTGTAACTGCGCAAAATTGCCGTGCTCCTTCGCAAATCCGCACTCCTGCCTGCTCGTTTCCACTACGAAAGTGGCAACAAGTTTGCTTGGGCTCCAGTATCAATCTTCAGCATGATATTGCCGCGCGCGCAGCTCAGATCGTCCCGTTGACGTCGTGCCATATCGTCGGTGTTCACTGCTCCTAGGAAGCACTCGTTGTCATTGTCGTCGCTGCAGCCGGAAGGGGTTTCGACGGGGGCTCTGGACAGGCAGTCGGCGTCGCTGTGCTTGCGGCCTGACTTATAGACCACTGTCATGTTGAACTCTTGTAGTCGAAGACTCCATCGAGCGAGGCGTCCTGACGGGTCCTTCAGCTTCGCAAGCCAGCAGAGCGAGTGGTGGTCCGTGACTACACGGAACGGGCTCCCGTACAAGTACGGATGAAACTTCGTTATTGCCCAGACGACCGCAAGGCATTCTTTCTCAGTTGTGGAGTAATTTTTCTCCGCCTTGGACAATGTCCGACTTGCGTGGGCGATGACTCGCTCGATGCCTCCTTGCACTTGGACTAGTACTGCGCCCAGTCCCGCGTTACTTGCGTCCGTGTGAATTTCTGTTTCCGCATCCTGGTCGAAATGTCCAAGCACAGGATTAGTCTGGAGTCGTCGTTTCAGTTCGTCGAATGCCTGCTGTTGCTCCTCGGCCCATTCGAACTTCTCGGCGTCCTTCGTGAGATTCGTAAGTGGTGCGGAAATCCTTGCGTAATCCCGAACGAAGCGTCGATAATAGGCACAAAGTCCAAGGAATCTTCGCACGGCCTTTTTATCTGTCGGCGCTGGAAATGCCGCGACGGCGCGAGTCTTCTCGGGGTCTGGGCGGACGCCTTCGTTACTAACCACGTGGCCAAGGAACTTCAGTTCGTCATAGGCGAACCGGCACTTTGACGGCTTGAGTGTGAGTCCGGCGGTCTGAATGGCTTGAAGAACAGCTCGGAGTCGTCTCAAGTGCTCGTCGAAGTCAGCTGAAAATACTACGACGTCGTCAAGGTAGACGAGACAACTCTGCCACTTCAGCCCTGCCAGTACGGTGTCCATGACACGCTGGAAAGTTGCTGGCGCCGTGCATAGTCCGAAGGGCATCACCTTGAACTCGTACAGTCCATCCGGCGTGACAAAGGCTGTCTTCTCTCGGTCCCGTTCGTCGACCTCGATTTGCTAGTAGCCGCTCTTCAGGTCCATCGATGAAAAGTATCGAGAGTGGCTCAGCCGGTCTAGAGTGTCGTCGATGCGGGGGAGTGGGTAGACGTCTTTCTTCGTAACCGTGTTGAGCTGCCGGTAGTCCACGCAAAACCGAAGAGTTCCGTCCTTCTTCTTAACCAGCACGACTGGAGAGGCCCATGGACTGCTTGAAGGTTGGATTATGTCGTCATTCAGTATCTCTTGAACTTGCTGATGGATCACCTCCCTTTCCTTAGCGGAGAATCTGTACGGCGATCGATGCACAGGGCGCGCGTCGTCCTCGGTAACGATGCGGTGCTTGGCAACCGCGGTCTGGCGCACCTTCGACGACGTCGCAAAGCAGTCGCGGTATTCGGCGAGGAGGTTAACCAGCTGACGCCGTTTAGGGTCCGGAAGCTTAGGGTCAATATCAAGCTGCGCTGGCGACGTACGGTCTTGCTGGGGCGGCGAGGATTCGTCAGTAATCGCGGTGATTTCGGCGGGGTTTCGGAGTTTCTCGACGTGGCCCACGGCTGCACCTTTCGTGAGGTGTTGCGTTTCGTTTCGGAAGTTCGTCACGAGGGCCACAGTCCGCCCATCCTGAAGTTCAGCTACTCCCCTTGCGACACCTATGCCTCTTCCCAGGAGCAATTGAAGGCTTCCCTCGAGAAGAACTTCGCCACAGGAAGCTTCATCGATCCCGACAAGTACGAAAACACTCGACCGCGGTGGTAGGTTTACGTGGTTTGCGATGACTCGGACCGTGGGTGACGTCGCTTGGGGTTCCTCCGCTGGTGGAGCAGGTTTTCGTAGCGTCAGCCGGTTTGTTCCGAGGTCGATGACGGCGCCATACTCGCAGAGGAAGTCCATTCCGAGGATAACGTCCCTCAAACAGTCTTGCAGAACGACGAACTTGACAGGGCACGTCTCACCGTGGATCTCGACGCGAGCAGTGCATCTCCCGACTGGTGTGATGAGATGTCCTCCGGCGGTTCGTATTTGGGGTCCTTCCCACAACGTCATGACTTTTCGAAGGCGGCGGGAGAGCCTCCCACTCAATACTGAGTAGTCTGCTCCGGTGTCCACGAGTGCCGATGCGTCGTGGCCGTCGATGACGACGTTTAGGTTGTTGGACACCGTTGCAGCGGCGTCGTAGCGATGCGTGGCGTCGGGAGAGTGGGAGCGCTCCGGCGTTCTTGGAGGCTCTTTACTCGGGTCGTCCTCGGTAACGGCACCTCCAGGCGTTGCCGCACTTAGTTTTCCCGACGGGATAGGGGGGACAGGCTGTCACGGCGCGACCGACGGAAAGGCGACGCGGAACGTCGGGGGGATGGAGAACGGGAACCTCGTGGTGCGGTGGGCGCTGGTGACGGAGGGCGACGGAGGTATTCCTCGATGTCCCTTGGTCGTTCTCCAAAACGAGGTCGACGGTCGTTTGGAGCGAATCCTCGCAGGCCGAGCTGGCTGTACGGGCA